GAGCGGGAAGAGGAAAGAGTAATCAGGAGGACGATAGCGATTTGACATTGCATTTAAATTTTTGCAGATTAAAGTTGGCTGGAAAGAAGTTCCACAGGCGAGAGAAGTAACTATTAGTATAGAATTTATGGTTACTTCTACTAATGTCATTATGAAACTTACATTGCCTGCTGATGACTTATATATACATTTTAAAGACACAATGAAATATCGGGCTCCTAGAATTTGTATTATAAACTAACTAGCACTTAGTACTATTTCTAAATCAGTGTAGACATATAGTAGGGTACAATATGGCCTGTTTTGTGATGTATTTTTGTTTTGCAGGTGTCATTTAGCTTAGTCTATACTTCACAGTATCTGACTGAAACCTATCTACTCCTATTGAGGAGAGAATAAACAATTAAAAAATAATTAGGGTTTAGGTGGAGATGTTAGAAGTATAGCGTTGAAGCAGACTTTAGAAGGGACCAAAAACTCAATTGATAAATAGAACTTTTTAACATTTTAATTTAATGACTGACTTATCTCTAAATTCCAGTGTTGATTGGGCCTTCTGAAATTCATTTTATTTAATCTGTCAAAAATTCAGATTGAGCTGACATTGGATCCTGTTCAATCCTCTCAATAAATCTATCCGAACTAAACCAAGTAATAGATTCCATAACAGATTCTCTTGTAACAAAAACAATTGATACTTGATTAATTATATTTAAAAAGCTAATAATCTGACATTTGATAGGTTTTTCTTTTATTGACCCTTTTGCAATCGGTGATTCTTGGCCACATGTTGCATTTAATAAGAAACAGCTGTGTAAGCAATTTGTTTAATCTGATTTCTAAAATGTCTCATTTTGACATATTGCTGTTTGAAACGTGAATTATTTACATTTGGACTTATGTCCTCTTCTTTATTCTAAGCCCTCCCCACAGCCTTCGAGTACCTGTTGCTATGGGTAAACTTTGTAGAATTTTGAACTTTATTTAATCCATGACTAAGAGTAAATTGTTCTCACTCTACAGTCTGTGTTTAGGGATATCTTGTCATGTTTTCTTTAGTACTGCTCAGTTACTGCTAGTTCAGTCTGTACTAGTCAGCTGAAGGATTGAACTTACAATTGCCACTAAATTCATGAATTATCACCCTAATCCACTAAACTGTTGCCCCAAATGTAAATGACTCTTCATTCCTGAAATTCAGACATTAATTCAAGGATTATAAACCATGTGGACAATAGGTTCTTTTTCGGTGAATAAGAATGTTTATGTGGTTTTTATGCATTGCAATTGACTAAAATCCCAAAAGGTTGTTGATTACTTGGGACTTATTTAATGCCACCTTTGTTTCCATACTTCTCATTTATTGGCAATTATGTTGGGAATAACAGATTGAAGAAATGATTGGCAAACATTTTTTTTTACTCTTCCCATCCAGTTAACATGTAACTATGTTTTATAGGTACCATCAAAATGGACATGTTGTTTGTTTTTTATTTTTTTCCAAAATGAAAGCAAAAGATCAATACTCCCTATTATGTAACCATGCATGAAACTTGGAGTAGCAAAAACTTGAGTAGCAATTTGACTTCTATTTAGGCTCTGCCAATTTGGCACTGAGGCATCAGTTTATTTTATATTTTAAGCTTTTTAAAAATTATTATTTATTTATATATATATATATATATATATATATAATATTATAAACATTAGTTCTCATACAATCACCAGTTAAGCAACATTGAACCTGGTCAGTACCTAGATGGGTGACCTGTTTGGGGATGCCAGGTGCTGTAAGCATGCAGATGATATAATGGATAATGGCTCGGAATTAAATTGGAGAGTTTAAATTCCAGTCAGGTTCGTTAGATTCAGTTGCACACATATTTTTGGGAAAAGTATGAATCCCACTGCTTCCTCCAGGTATGAGATTTGTATCAGTAAATCATTAAAACAATCTAAAAAAAAAAATTTTTATGGCTTTGAATAACCAGCAAAAGGTTGATAAACATTTATATATATATATATATATATATATATATATATATATATATATATAGCTAAAGTTTGTCACTTAGCTAATTGGTGTTACCTTCAGCACCCAGACTCCAGAGTTTCATAGACAAGCCCTCCAGCAATCACTCCATCCACATTTCATCCTCTAAGGAACATTATCAGCACAAATGCAAGGATTTTATTTTGTAACAAGTATATATACAAGAGCAAAAATGTTATTGGTTTTTCAAAATTTTTTAATTTAAGAATACTCATTAACATTGATCAGGTTACCTGAAATGCCTAGGCAAGCAGTGGAAAATGCCTACACTTTGTGGTTGATGAATATTTATGAGTCTCCTTAAATTTTGAAAAATGAAAAACATTTTTGCTTCTGTACATATATTTGTTACAAAATAAAATCCTTGCATTTGCCTTCATAAAGTCCATCAGAGGACAAATCATGTTGGCTAAAATAAATTTTCCTTTTGTCTTTAATCATATTGTCCTTTTACAGATATACTCTATCTGAAATTTTACACACACACACATGTGCAGGTGTTAATAAAATAGTGCTTGATGTAAAATAGCAGAACTATGAATTATATATTAATAATAAATTTACATTTTTTTCTTCTTCATTAGTAGCACAATTCTGAATTCCATGCACAACACAGTATTCAGGTGAAAATATATATATATAAGTCCAGATGGGCTTAACCAAAAATTTAACAACAAATAGATTTAATATATAACCCCATAAATCAAGTCCTACCCACATTTCTCACCCACACAAAAGACCTGCTTGCAGAGGTGTTGAGGTCTCACACTTATACACACACTCTCAAAGGACTAAAAGATAACATACACTTAACACACATCCCATTCCCAGAAACTAATAAAACTGTCAAAATGATCAAGGAGAGAATTCTTAGTCAGGAATCTGCCATCCTCTATTTTAAAAACAACTTCAAAGAGGCCATTTGACCAACACAAGGACTGACCAAAATTAATGATAAAAAACAAATGAAAACTACAGATAAAGTTCACTTTCTTCAGAAACAGTCATTTACTCCTGTAGTTCACTGCTACTAACAAGCAGGGTTTTTTTTTCTCCTGATGATGGCCAGTCGAGGAAACTAGTCAAAATAATAAAGCAAAAAATATTAATATATAACTCAGTGTGTCTGAAAATTTTAATTTTTTTAATATTTTTTATTGTTCAAAACTCACATATTGAGTAATAGACAAAATTGTGTCTACTTTTGTACTGACTGATCCTTTCCAGTTGTCTAATCGGTTTCTTGATGATAAAATGAAACTCATCAAGGAAGGTGCTGTAATTTATTTTAACTCAATTACTTTTGACCTTTTCTAAGATCCTCTTTGGGGGGTAAATTATAAAGACAAATTTATAAGTTTGTGCTTGTAATTTGTAAAATGACTGACAATGAACTGCAGTTACTTTCCTTGTTGTCTGCCAGGTCATGTAATTTAATAATTGTGTATTTGTCAGCAATCCCTCTTGTCAGTCGTTTTTAATGAAACTTGTATAAAAGGGATTTCTGACACACATATATATATAATTTCTTTTGTTTTTTAAATAATTGTTTATCATTTCCAATGTCTGCATAATCTTTTGAAATATGCTGACAATAAAGTTAATGTCTCTTTTCAGATTATTGCCTTTGACGAGTTGAAGACTGAATATAAAAACCCTATAGACCAATGTAACAGTTTGAACCCTGTAAGTATTTTGTTGATATGTTTATTTGCATTATTTAACCCTGTGAACCTGGGTCGCCAGTATACCACCCAGAGTCATGGACAGCAGGGGCTCAGGGTGTGAAACCTGTACTCATCAGTATTCAAAAGGTTGGATATATTTGTGCTTATAATTTCAAGTTGGGTTGTGTTACTGAAAAGACACTATGGAAGCTCTGTAACCTTTCTCAGTAACATTAAATGTTGGTTTATTTTTACACTCCAACTTTTAAAAAGTTGGGTAGCTTTTTGTTATATAGGAATAAAGTGTCACTGCGAACACTTGAGTTTGAACATAGATCGTCAGTGAGCAAACACAGGCGACCCCATTATTAAGTAGACCACGTGAGCATAGAGGAAATGCATATATGGGAGGTAGCATGTGCCTAATTAATCGCTATTCCTAGTCTATCCTCTATACTATATGGATCACATTTCTATTCTATCCTCTATTATTATTCAGATCTCCATTTCTACACTATCCTCTATTACTATATAGACTGCTCTTCTATACTCTATTCATTTTACTACAATGGTTACTTTCGAGCGAGTATTAATGAGCAAGTACTATTAGTGCAAGTGATATTTGAAGGTGTCTGACAACAGCATTGTTCAACAGCGATTACAAGCATTATGAAAGTGACAACGAGTATTCATTGGCATCACAAAAGTGTCAAACAAGTGTTCATTGACATCACAAAACTTTCCTTTCCCTTTTCTTTTTCCTTGGTGGAATTTTTCTGATGAGCTTCCCTTTTTGGTACCTCAACTTTATGAATTTAAGTACAGTACTAGACTGGCAGCTAGATCTCGTCAATTTACAGTTGAAATAGCTAGATGTAACTGTAACCTCCATGCTAATATTTTTTTCTCTCGCACTTCTCACTTGTGGAACTCTCTTCTGGCTTATTGCTTCCCAATCAACTTTGATCTTCAAAAAATTAAATGCAATCTCAGTCATCATTTTCTGTCTCCTTAATTCCTATTCTTTTATTTCTCTCTCTCTCTCTCTCCTTAATAATGTTTGTCTTTTTTTCTCATTCTTTTACACTCAGTAACTAGCTGTCCCTTAGTGGCTTTATTGCTTTGCTTAGGATTAAATTATTAAAAAAAAGAAATGATTAAAATTTATGTTTTTAGCCATAGTTGGATGGAAACAAAACAGTAATTCCTCTTAAGAAATGACACCAATCCAATGGATAGGTCTTATTAAATGTAAACTTAGTCTTAAAGGGTTTTAAGCTTATGGCCATGTCATGTTGAAACACAGGTTTCCATATGATCAAAGTTAAGCAACATCAAGCCTGGTCAGTACCTAGATGGGTGACAGCTTGGGAATACCAGGTGCTGTAACTTGGATGCGGGGTGATGTAATGGATTATGGATCGGAACTGTTAATCAGAGAGCTGAGTTCCAATTCCAGACAGATTTGTTTTATTCACTTGTGTGCAAATACCCTTAGGAAAGATATGAATTCACCTCTTCTCACCCCCAGTTATGGGTTAATTAGTAAGATTTGTATCACTAAATAATTATCTCCCAAAAAATGCTTACAATCTAAAAATATTTTCTGTCTTTAAATAACCTGCAAAGGGTTGATAAGCCATAGAAAATAAATCAATTAAAGGGTTTTCGAGATATTTTATTTCCATAGAGAAAGTTGTTTATAACTCATCATTTTTGACTATCTTAGTGACATCATTTGATATAGGTCTGTACCAAATTATACTAAGTTAGTGTTTAGGCTTGGTTCTTTTAAGAATCCCTCAATTCATCTCTCTCAATTTTCTTAATTTTTCCACATTTAATTCAAACACTTTAAATGTAATCAAGCATTTTTTCTCAACGTCTCTGCTTGCTTTTTGTTCTGTATCATGATCTGGGCCTTTGAGCATACAACTGTTTGTCAACCACTCTTAATCCTCGCCCTACACAAGTGGGTCATCACCGACCTTGTCACACCCTCAGAATTCCTTATCATTGTACTAATCTTTCCTTAGTCCACAGTGCATTAACTTTGCTCTGTTTAAACAACCTAGCCACCTTGTCATTTTATGGCTAAACATTTTCTCTTTCACTCTTCCTGTTAAGGCACTTAAGAGTTTTTCTGCTATATTCATATTTCCATATGATGCCAACATTCTGTTTTTAGGGCATTCAATTATTTCCATGCAACACAAAAGATGATAAAGCACAAGTTTATTTGATAAATTTTAGTTTAAGGGGATTAGAAGTGTATATTAAGGTGCAAATAAACTAACATTTTAACTTAGACAAAAATTTTTTTTTTTTTTTTTTTTTTTTTTTCAATGTGGGTTTTCCCCCTCTCCCTTTGTGTCTTTTTTTTTTTCCCCCTCTGTGTTTTGTGTCTTTGTTTTTCCCCCCTCTCCTTTGTGTCTTTTTTTTTTTTCCCCTCTCCTTTGTGTCTTTGTTTTTTTTTCCCCTCCCTTTGTGTCTTTGTTTTTTTTCCCCCCCTCTCCCTTTGTGTCTTTGTTTTTTTTTCCCCCTCTCCTTTTGTTTTTTTTTTTTTTTTTCCCCCTCTCCTTTGTGTCTTTTTTTTTTTTTTCCCCTCTCCCTTTGTGTCTTTTTTTTTTTTCCCCCTCTCCTTTGTGTCTTTTTTTTTTTCCCCATCTCCTTTTTTGTTTTGTCCTTTTTGTTTTTTTCCCCCATCTCCCTTTGTGTCTTTTGTTTTTTTGGCCCCCTTTTCTCGTTTTTTCCTCCTGGTCGCTCCTCCTGGGTGTGTCGCCCAACCCTTGGTCAGATGATCTTTGCCCAATACCCCTCTCCCTTTGTGTCTCCGGTTGATTTTTTCTTAGACAGACAGGACCTCCCGGGGTGGCAAAACAAATAAAAGAGAAAATTTTTTTCCCCATGATGAAAAAATGGGTAACAAAAACTTTTTATGTAATGTCCGCTACATAAAAACAAAATTGTTCTTTTCCCCCTGTGTATGTCTGGTTTTTGTGTCTAATTTGTTTTTCCCCATCTTCCTTTTGTTGTATTTCTTCTTCTTTTTTCCCCCATCTCCCTTTGTGTCTTTTGTTTTTGAAGGATCATCTCCTTTGTGTCTTTGTTTTTCCCCATGGGAGGATTTGAGGATTCTTTTGTCTTTGATTTTCCCCATCTCCCTTTGTGTCTTTGTTTTTGCCCCCATCTCCCAATGCCTTTATTCAACAAATTTTGTCCAGCTGCAACTCCACTCCAACTGATTTGTTTTTTCCCCATTCTCCCTTTGTGTCTTTGTTTTTCCCCATTCTCCATTATTGTTTCTTTCTCACAGTTTTTCCCCTCTCTTAGTCTCCGTATTTGTGTCAATGGTTTTGCATTTTTTTCTTCTTTTCTGCAGATCTCGGACCTTTGTGTATTTCGAGCATCCTTTCTCCTCCTTTTTGTTTTTAAAAACCAAAATCCAATTTTGCCCTTTTGACAATCTTGGCTCTCTCTTTTCAACCAGCCCGCCGCTAATTAGTTGTGACCACCTCTTGTTTTTTGTCAGACCCCAGTTTCTTAATTTATCTGAATTGTTCTTTCCCCCAATCTAATTTTAACAGGTCTTTGTTTTTCCCCAAAAGACCCTTTGTGAAAAAAAAAAAATTTTTTTTCTATTGTTCTAAAAGAATTTCTTTCTCCAATTTTGTGTCTTTCTACGCAAAAAAGAGGGCTAGATTTTGACTGATATCTGGTTTTCTCAAGCTGCCCGTTTTGATTTCATGTCTTTTCCCTTTCTTTCTTTTTTATTATTTTTCTTCCCCCCATCTAAGATATCTTTCTTTGTGTTTTTTTAATGACCTTTGTTTTTTGTATTTCTAACCTCTCTCCCCTTCCTTCTTCTTCCCTTAGGATCGTCCAAGTACAATCTTAGTGAATTATTTTCAACTCAATTATTTTCCGTTTTAAAAAAAATCAACAACCTGTTTAGTAAACCTTAAAAAAATTAAATCATATTTCTATGAATATTTTAATAATGCAAGGTGCCCCATTTGTTTTTCCCCCATCTCCCTTTGTGTCTTTGTTTTTCCCCCATCTCCCTTTGTGTCTTTGTTTTTCCCCCATCTCCCTTTGTGTTTTTTCCCCCCCATCTCCTTTGTGTTTTTGGTTCCCCCCATCTCCCTTTGTGTTTTTGTTTTTCCCCCCATCTCCCTTTGTGTTTTGGTTCCCCCATCTCCTTTGTGTTTTTTTTTTCCCCCATCTCCCTTTGTGTTTTTGTTTCCCCCCCCATCTCCTTTGTGTTTTGGTTCCCCCCCATCTCCCTTTGTGTTTTTGGTTCCCCCATCTCCTTTGTGTTTTTGGTTTCCCCCCCATCTCCCTTTGTGTTTTTGGTCCCCCCATCTCCCTTTGTGTTTTTGGTTTCCCCCATCTCCCTTTGTGTTTTGGTTTCCCCCCATCTCCTTTTGTTTTTGTTTCCCCCCCATCTCCTTTGTGTTTTTGGTTTCCCCCCATCTCCATCTCCCTTTGTGTTTTTGGTTCCCCCCATCTCCTTTTTGTTTTGGTTTCCCCCCATCTCCCTTTGTGGTTTTGGTTTCCCCTCTCCCTTTGTGTTTTTCCCCCATCTCCCTTTGTGGTTTTGGTTTCCCCCCATCTGGTTTTGTGTTTTTGGTTTCCCCCCATCTCCCTTTGTGTTTTGGTTTCCCCCATCTCTCCTTTGTGTTTTTGGTTTCCCCTTTCTGGTTTTGGTTTTCCCCCCCCTCCCTTTGTGTTTTGGTTTCCCCCCTCTCCCATCTCCCTTTTGTGTTTGTTTTTTTTTTTTTTTTTTTTTTTTCTCTCTCTCCCCTGTTTTTTTTTTTTTTTTTTTTTTTTTTTTTTTTTTTTTTTTTTTTTTTTTCTCTCTCCTGTGTGTGTTTTTTTTTTTTTTTTTTTTTTTTTTCTCTCTCTCTGTGTGTGTGTTTTTTTTTTTTTTTTTTTTTTCTCTCTCTCCTGTGTGTGTTTTTTTTTTTTTTTTTTTCTCTCTCTCTCCCTGTGTGTTTTTTTTTTTTTTTTTTTTTTTTTTTCTCTCTCCTGTGTGTCTCTTTTTTTTTTTTTTTTTTTTTTTTTTTTTCTCTCTCTCTCCTCTCTCCTGTGTGTGTTTTTTTTTTTTTTTTTTCTCTCTCTCCCTGTGTGTGTTTTTTTTTTTTTTTTTTCTCTCTCTCTGTGTGTTTTTTTTTTTTTTCTTTTTTGTTTTTTTTTTTTTTTTTTCACCCCTCTTTGTGTTTTGGGGTGTTTTTTTTTGTTTTTTTTTCACCCTCTCTTTGTTTTTTTTTTTTCTTTGAAGGCCTTGTTAATTGAAGTTAGTATTTACTTTCATCCTTTTAGCATAACCTTGGTCATCAGCAGCTTTCAAATGGCACAGAATGAACTTGTTTTTCCTTCTGTACTTTCTACTATTGCCATTGATTGGCAGCCTGAATTGTAATGTAATAAAAAAAAAAAAAAAAAAAACTGCATGTAAGAAAATAATAATCAAAATTAATAATAGTGTACCACACCTCCAGCAATTAAAATCTTGTTCTTCCATTTTTTTGTTCTTTATTAAAAACAAAAGTAACAATATGAACAAAATCTTTGCTTTCTTTTGTTTGTTGAGAATATTGTTTAAGCAATATTTGATAGAGCAAAAAAAGGAAAAAAAAAACGAGCCTTGGTGCTATTAAGCTGCTTTTCATAATGATGTACTCCAACCCATCTAGTACTGTATCTTTTTTTTTTTTTTTTTTTTTTTTTTTATAATGACATATTTCTAAATGGCTAAAATTATTTCTATTTCAGTTGGTTCTTCCTGAATACCTTCTTCACATCTTCTTTAATGTGCTATTTCTGTTTGCAAGAGAATGGCTGTCAATTCTGTTGAACGCCCCACTTATTGCATACCATGTGCGCAGGTCAGTAACACTCAATGATTTCTTCTTTTCTATTATGTCCGTCTGAGAAATGAGTCTGCCTGGAAAGTATGATTACTTTGCTCACTAAATGTATGATTACTTTGATAAAAGTAATGCTATATCATGAGCAACAATGTTTCAACATTTAAAGTTACAATTGGTATAGATGAGCATAAAATTAAGCCCTGTTAAAGAAAACACTTCAATTGTTTATAAATTATGTCTATTTTAATTATTACTCCATTTGGCTGAGTCAAAAATAATTTCTGCTTTTGGGAACCAGTGAAGATAAACAAAATGGAAACAATTTAGGATTCAACCTCATGAAAGAAGAGACTTTTGTTACGGCTTTTGAGGTTTTTTTCTTCTGTTAAAGACAACTCCAAGTATTGGCTGATGCTTGAAAAGTGAATTTATTTCTGTTTTTACAACACTGAAATATTGAAAGAAAAAACAAAGCTTTCATGTTGTATATGCCTACATAAAAAAAAGGTATAT